AATCACCATGATACCGAAACGGGCCCGACAGGAGGAGGAGACGGCAAAGAAACCAACAGGAAGACGAGGGGAGATAGTTTAGTGCCTGAATAGAGGAAGGAGTTTTAGTTTTCCCCCTAAAAAATGACACACTCACACTTCATTACACACTCACAGTCTGTAGCAAACCTGGCTTCATTTAGTTTCTGTTGGCTTTTCACCTGAGTCTGTTTGTCATCTTGATTTTCTATCCCCTCTGCCTTTTTCTTTTCTTGAAGTGAGATGTTTTTTATGCCTCTCGGGCTTTCTGGGTCTCACAGGCACAATAGTTTGTCTTTCCTTTCTCTCAGTTTGTCTGCATGTGCAGATATATTCAGGATATAAATGCAGAATGTATTTCCTAAGTGAAATAAAATGAGTTTTCTGAGGATAATCTGTATTCAGAACTCAATTAAAAACTCTACAAACAAAAATCACGCCCAGACTTCAAAAGCACATAGCAGGACGCACTGATGTGTTTGCAGATCAAAAGATGTCTAGACGTCAGTGTTGAATTGGGCTAAATTTGGATAAAAACTTAGTTTTAATTAGCTGAATGGAACGCACCCATAGTCACTAAAATGTTGGTTATGTGTAACCCAGATGCCGTTCCCAGTTGGATAGTTTAGGAATCACAGTTTACAAAACATTTCATAGATCTGTATGATTAGCGATGTTACTTCATAGCGCAGCTCTAAGGCGTCCGTCAGTGCTGAGGCTCTGTATCCAGGTTTGTACTGTGCTGTATTAGGGTTTCCTAGAAACTGATTAGCAGAGGTGGTAAGCTAGTCAGTGGATGTGCTCTTTATTTCAGGTGAGCTGGGAAACCCGGAATATTAAGGGAACGGCATGACTGATGACGAATGAGGCCTTGTGTACTGCAGGAGTTCTGATGGTTTTGCCTTTAGTTTTGGGTTGTTGATACCAGGTTCCCCTGTGGGGTGGAGGAGGTAGAGCAGGTCGTCCACTAATCAATAGGTTATAGGTTCGATCCCCGGCTCCTCCCACTGCATGTCGAAGTGTGCTTGAGCAAAATACTGAACCCTAAATTACTCCCGATGCTGATAAATGTGTGTGAATGTGACATGTAGTGTAAAGCCAAAGACAAGAATGCTGCTATGTAAGTGCAGTCCATTTACTATCGTACATTACCCCGCTGAAACCTACACAGTATCGACCCACTTCATTTCTGTCTGTCTTGTTTTCTTGCTATTTTGCTCAGCATATTCTCTCACTCATTACTAATAGCTAATCATGTTTAGCAGGTTAGCGTACCTAAATGAGGCTGATGGAGATGTTACCATTTAGGTATTCATGAGGGGAGGTTTTGACCTGTTGGTGGCGCTAGATGAGAAGTCGGCAGGATCAGAGGATGCTCTGGGGACAATGAAGGTCTGAATCAGAAGTTGTTGGATATTGGACTAAAATGTGAAAGTAAAAAGAGGTCAAAATTGTGTCAAGATGTTTAAAATTAGCAGCTAATACAATAACTGATAATTACCTTCTTTTCACAGCCAATACCGATAAAATAATAATATAATAATTAATATATATATGATAAGTTTATAGCCTGTAGTTTTTACAAATCTGAGGGTAAGAAAGGTTGAGACATAGTGAGCAAAGATGGATGATTTAATATTCAAGAACTCTGTTCTAACAAAGACTAACTGACATCACTGTTGACACAACAACAACAACAACAACAACAACAACAACAACAACAACAACAACAACAACAGTTCTGACTCGGATTTATTTTTCTATAAAGTTTATTAAAAAAACTTCACAAACATACTTTTGCTTCCATAGAACATAAAGTCTATCAATTGATGATTATTTATATCAACCAATAATTTATTGGCTGTAATGTAATTATCCCAACAAAATAATATCAATTTCTCCTTATTGGACGATCATTAATTTGTTTAAATAATTATCATGCATCCCTAGTTTAAAGAACAGGAAATGTATCAATGATATAAGTATTTAAAATGATGATGTTGAGCTAACAGATGGACTGACACCCTCTCTGCAGTCGCACCTCTAGGATAGCATAGGGTTAGTCAGATGTACTCTCATCCCCTCCAGTGTTTCTGCTTTAAATTGAATTCAAGCTTTTATTGCTGTACTAGTTGGAGCGTCAGTTTGTGCTGGAAAGCTGCGAGCGTACAGAGATAGTGAAGCTCTGCAGTTTGAAAACCTGAAAACAAGCTAAATAATCTTTTAATGATCTAATGAACAATTCACCTTGCTGTCTCTGGTTGGAAAACAATACTCATCCGTCTCTCTGTTGTCCCTATCACTTAATCCGCTCCCTCACAGACAACCGTGTGCCCAGCTCCCAGCACACTTTGCTGCAGCGATCCTAACCAGTTCCTCTCTGTAATCATGTTGATTGGCACCCACGGCAGCGCCTTTGATTAACGCTTCAAATCCTCATTAGTGATGCAGGAGTCGCACGTTCAAAACGCAAACATTCAAATTCAATCGTGAGTGGAACGCGACCCCCCCACCCCCACTACACGCCACACACACACACACACACACACACACACACACACACACACACACACACACACACACACACACACACAGACAGCCACCCCACCAATTACTCCAATCTGAATGTTGGTGTGGGACTCAACGTAGAAGTGGCTTTAATGAACCGCTAAAAATAGATTTCATTTTTGGTTGGCGTGGAGGGATTAATTTGCTCCAGAGAGCGGTGAGAAAGAGTCTAGATCAGAACGTCCTTGAGAAAACGTCCACACCTACAAGTTTATGAAAATGCTTGCGGGGCGGAATCGAACTGCTTATAGATTATTGTGTCTGCTCTTTGCTCTGTTATCGATTCTTTACTAAGAAGCTTTATCGCGGACATGAAATCTGTTTGGCAACTTTTGAGTCATCGACTGACACGGATGGAAGGATTCTGACCACATTTTTTGAAAGCATCCACCAGATGTTTGATTGTGAAATGATCCAGTTTCTCCCCTGCAGCACATTCCTTTATATGTTATCTGGGGCTGTAAACTATAGTAATAATGACATCAAATTAGCCTTTCAAAAGCAGAGTCAGTTGATTTTTTCCCTTCTGTTGTTGCCTTGAGAAGCACCTAGTGGCTATCCAATTCCCTCCGCTCGCCTAATTTACGGAGCAGACTTTGTGCAGAATATTCATTAGCAGCCATAAATATCTTCTTTCTGAATATTCATGACTGCAGGGAAAACACGAGGAAAAAAAGACAAGACAAAACATGGCAGACGGAGGTATAAGTCTATTTTTCTCTGGAACAAGAGAGCTTCAGTACTCCCTGCGTGATTATCCCCGCTGCATAATCTACATGTGAGAGTCATTAGTGAGGGACGTTGCATCAAAATGTAAAATAACTTTCAATAAACAGGGATGGTACATAATATATAGGACACCTCAGACAGTCCAAGTAAAGAGTATTACCTATAGTAATACTGTATTATACTAGATAAGTAAATAAACACATTTTGATTGATTTATAACCAAAAATAGGACCAGGAAAGGTCTCACGGAGTTCACGTAGATCAGAGAACCATTTCCTGATTATTTAATCTTTGTTTATACTAAACTACATCTAGTGTCACATAAAGGGCAGTACTTTAGGGTAATTTCCTTTATTCATTTATCCAGTGATTTATTTTGTAGTGATTTATTTATCTTTTTTCTGTAAAACATCAGAATATAAATAAAACATTTCCAGTATCATTTCCAATCAAATAGTTCTGTTGTGTTAGGTTACTCTTACAAAACATCCATGATTCATTGTTCCAGGAAGAAAGACTGGTTGTATTTTTAAAGAATCTAGTAAGATTGGTTGGTTGATGGGATGGGTTATTCCCAGGCTGGCTGTTTGGTGCTAATCAATTTTACACAACACTGCCAGGAAACTGAATTCCTGCACTTTGACCATTTCTTTTTCACACGTAGCAACATTGTTACCTGCGGCTGGAGGATTAACCCTAAAACTAACCAAGCCTGAGGCGGTAGCCACTTAGCAACACACTAAAGCAAAGTTCAGCAGGACAAACAGTTAACAGTAAAACAACTTAAAATGAGGCAACTTCCAAGTTTGCAGTCAGGTCATAGACCACAGGTCACGTTATTGATCACTGAGCTTGAACCTTGGTTACCAGCCAAATATTAGCCCTCGTTACTCCGTTCCAGTCCATAGTAAAACACACACACACACACACACACACACACACACACACAGATGCCGTCACAAATAAACTCTATCCACTCCGCTCTGTCCGCTGAAGCTGGGGCCAATATTTGACACGGTGGCAGCGTCCAGGTTGCCAGTTAAAGTTAGTAAAAACGGGGGCGTTTTGACTTCCTAACTCATAGGTCTTATCATCTGAGTAAATATATTTAAATATTAATTTCATACATAATTAATGTTATACCTAGAGGTCTATACCTTGACCTCTAGACCAGCAGATGTCAGCCATAGTTCGCTCACTAGTTGCTGATCACTAGTTGCTGAATATTTGTGTGTGTTGCTGTATAAACCTTGACATACTCTAATGTTGCTTCTGATTTTATTCCATCTCTTTTACACATCCATTCAGAGCCATGTGACTGTAGCTGTTGCTCTGTATTTCTGGCATGTGCTCTATGGATTTAAACTGTACTTGAACATTCACCGACTAAGCAGAGGCGACACTCCTCCAGTATCATCAGTAAATGTACAGCAAGCAGCAGAGTTATTTGTTAACAGGCTGAGCAGGTCTCAGCATCATTTCTCTGCAAGCTGCCGTTGTCAATTAAGTGAGCGGAAAGTGCTGAGCGCAGGTCTGGAGGAGGGAGATATCAAAACAACAGCCTGTAATGAGAACCCTCTCCACGGGACCGCCACCCAATCAGAGGGCTCCCCATGTAGATATCAAAATGATGTCAACCAGGCTCGGTCTGCACCAAGGGGCTGAGGCACGGCTTAAAAACTTACCTGTGTTTCCCATGATGAAACAGATCCAGTTCCCTGCATCAGGCCAGTCAGACTGTTTCATCAGCACCAACCTTCAGTCTGCAGACACACAGCGACGACTAACAGCAGCTGGCAGGGAGAGTGAAACCAGTACGAGGGATGATTAATAGTACGCTTTACTGGTACTGTCACTGAGTAGTGTGTGTGTGTGTGTGTCTGTTAAACGTTCAGTATAAGAGGGCTGTGTGTATCTCAGTGAACACACAGCAGCTACAGTCAGCCCGTCTGCAAAACCAAACAAATAAACAAACCATGATTGATATTCTGAAACCTGCATTGATTCTTTTTTTTTTTTAAAGGAACTAATCAATTAAAACTTTATTTTATCTCGAGTTTTCTGCTGCAGGAAGACACTGTTCGATCCACATCTTGGTCTGAAATGAAATGTCTCAGCACCCATTAAATTGATTGGCAATAAATGTTTGTTCAGACATTCATGGTCCCCAAAGGATTCAGGTTTGATAGCAAATATCCACAGAACGTACGGAACTGTCAGCATGTTGGCAGGTTTTACTAAGGTTGTATCATACCTGCTAAACGTCACCATGTTAGCATGATGTTAGCATTTAGCTTACAGCAGCACTGTGTGCACAGGCTGCTAGCTTTATCTGACACATAATCCTGCCTGGATTATACGTCCAAAACCTCCAAATCTTGATCGCCCTAATTTACAGTAAACAAACCATTGAGAAATTCCATAAAACTTGGCAACCTTCATTAACTAGGCAATAAATATCCTCATTACTATAATAATTAGGCTTTTATTGAAATATCAATCACCATGTAAAGCAGCTTTGTACCTTGGTTAATGTGAATACTGTAAATGCACTGTATGGGTTCTTTTGTTTTTTGTGTGTTTGTAAAATCTGTACTGTTCTGTACAGATTTTGTATGTTTTTATACAGTGCAGACTTTTTGTTAACTGAACTACCAACAAACAGACGTAAAAAATGTTTTTACAGTAAACCAGAAAACCCGTCAGTTGATAGAAAGTGAAGCTGTAAAAACACACAACACACACACAAATACGCTGCTGCAAAATAACACAAACCATTAAATTAGGAGGCGATTTGCCGGAGACTTGCTCTTTTTATCACTATTGATTTGATTAATGAGGTGTAGCTGGTGGATAATAATTCCAAATGGGATAAGAGTAGTTAGTAAAAAAAGAAATTTTAAAATAGTAACTGTAATTATGTACTAACATGGTGGAGGCGGGTTACATTAAATAAACACAAATTATTTAAAAAACGTAATCATTTATTAATTCAGTGATTACAAATAACAACAAATAAAAGAAGTGAGTAATTATAAGTAATCAGTACCCTTCATCAGAGGTGGAAGGGACACTTTTTTGTAGCCCCATTTTTTTTTAGAATTACACAGATGAATTTAATGCCTTAAAAGTCTCATCTAGTGCAAAAGAAAACTGAAGACCAAACGAAGCAATTGTCCTTTGTCTTCTCAGCTCTATTTCCTTTGACCTTCACTAGTTTAACTCCATTGCACAGGATAACAAGACTGTTTTATCACATCGACTGTAAGCTGCTGTGGGTTCGTGCCTAAAATGTAAACTCTGTTTCTCATGTGTCATTGAATAAATGAGAGATGAATGAATAAAAAAATAAAGTCTTCAGAGATCCTGTATGTGTGTGTGTGGACTGTAAGTGAGGAGGGAGTTGCTCTATCACTTTGTACAATCATATTCCACTCAAAGCTTGTGCTTCATGACTAATTGCTCAGTAAATAACGTGAAGCCAAACAGAGGCAGCTGGGAGTCTAGTGCGCTCATTAGGATGAGTGGCATCGCTGAACGAGGCGAACAAACACAACCTGTGATTACTCAAATCAAGACGCTGGCGCTCCAATCAGAACAAACCAAACCTCATTTACATTTTGACGTCTTTAAGGCGTTTAGTTTGCACCCTTATACAGAGAGAGCGCAGGGCGTTTCAGCAACCAAAAAATATCACTGTATTCATTATGAAACATTAATGGCCCCATGATGTCTTTACTTCCTTAATGTGATCAGTTTCCACCATAAATGATAGCATGCATTCACCGCTCTCTACTGTAAACAGGAAACCATGGAAACAGACAACCATGATGACTTGACTTATGGGTTTAGTATGGGTTTAGGACAAGTCCAATTATTTTGGATTTTTTGAAGTTTTTGTTTTCTCTTTATTAGTTAAACGCCACTAAATATTTTATAAGACATTTTTGAAACGCTCCTTCAAATTGTTCTTTTAAATCTTATTAAGACTTTTATTGGCCCTATCTGCACATTGTGTCTGTGTGTTTGTGACTGTGTGTGTGTGTGTGTGTGTGTGTGTGTGTGTGTGTGTGTGTGTGTGTGTGTGGGTTTACGACCACATAGCAGCAAAACTTTCCCATCAGCCTCAGCTGTACTTTGCGTTTAAATAGCAGCAAGCTAACAATAGACAGTAGAAATAAAAATGGACGTAGTCTGTCTGACGTCACCCATAGGTTTCTGGGTAGCTGTTGTGAAGCTCAGTGCGGTTGTCTCTGGCTGTGGTCATCTGACTCCATCTGCTCCCGGGGGGGCAAAGATGTGGCTGCTTGTGACAGCACCCACCTGTCACTCCAAAGCGGCCATACTTTTTATTATGTATGACTTTAAGATTAAAACGGGGGAGTTACTCACCAATGCAGACGTCATGAACGGACTGAAACAGGCTGTAAACACGTTTCTTTCTGCTGTGAAGTTGCACATTTTAATAATGGCCTTATGGAGATTGACTGGCTTATGCAGCCAGCCTCCAGTGGCCGTGTGAGGAACTGCAGTTTTTGGCTCTTGGAGTTGGCTTCCTTTTACAGCCAGGGACAGCATTGCTGTTTGATGCTAACACACTAAACTGAGCATTTAGGTCACAGCACTCACAGAGCCGCTAGCAAGGCTGTAGACCTTCTGTAGGCTTGTTTCTGAACACAGCTAAAAGTTTTGATTCTGGCAACATTGATGGTGGAAGAAACTAGTAGTAGAAGTAATAGCAGCACTACTGGTATGAGAGATAAGCTGCCGGCCATCCAAACCTGCAGGGCTGCAAAAATGGCCCAAAAGGAGAAGAAAACAAAAGCAAACTTCTGCTACACAAAACTATTCTCTCCTCACTCTTCATCACTTCTGGCTTCGAAAATGTATACACAATGAGCAGTCTGAGAAAGGAAAATCATTATTTTATTCAATTCTCTCACACTCACACACACACACACACACACACACACACACACACACACACACACACACACACACACACACACACACACACACACACACACACACACAGACTGTAGCTCAGTGTTATTTTTAAAGTTATTGACATTGTAAAACCCCACAGTACATGTAGCACCTTTAGTGTAATTGACTTTCAGACCTCCAACTCTCCTTCCTCCCCTCAGCACTGCCTCCTCTCCCACACTTCCTCATCAATTCCTCCTCCTCCTCTCCACTTCCTCATCAATTCCTCCTCCTCCTCTCCTCTTCCTCCTCTCACATGCAGGATTGTTTCAGGAGCTGTAGCATCAGAGTACCGAGCGCCACGTCCTCATCTGCTGAACCCTGCAGGGTGGCAGTTTAATAAACTCTCATTCCTACACCGAGCGAACGGTACGAGCACACCACAAGCCCGGAGAGCTCGGTGAATCAGTTCACACTGACGGAGGAAGACATTTTTTTAAAAGGTTGGGGGTAAGATGGAGGAGGGTTTGAAATGCATGTGCAGGAGGGGAGGTGGGGTTTCATCTCATCTCGTGGTGTTATTTTGGTTCTGACTCCATTTTGTAAAGCTCCTCTGTCAACAGATGATTTGTTTTCATGTCAGTGGTTTTTGTACACAGTTGCTTGCAGTGAATTTTGCTGTTTATTTGTCTACGTCCAGTTTTCCGGAGCCCAGTGTCGGATATGAGGATGCTGCTGCTGCAGAAATCATGTTTTATCTTTTAATATTCTTTGAAGTTCCTAATATTGGACCTTTTTATTTTTCCCTCCCCTTTTGCTCTGGTTTGAACTCCTGAGAAAAATATCTGGCTCTTAAACTGCTAAACAGTCTGGCCAGGAAGTTTCAATGTTGTAATCAACAATTAACAATTAACGCAAATTCAACCAATCCCTGTTTTAGCGCGACCTGGCAAATTTAACCAATCGTTGTAGTTCCCCATGCAAGACGTTGAGTCACCAAACTCACTTCCTTGTTTCTTGTGAAAATACAGAAAATGCAACTCCACTATCTCACGTTTACCCTCATAATCCGGAGCCTTTTTGGTAGCGTTATTTGGAACATTCCAGAAAGTGCAATTTTATTCTCACTTGTACAACTGACCTTCAATTTAAAATCAATTATACAAAAGAAAATGTGCAATTCTCACTTTATCCTTCAATTTCAACGTAAAAAAGGCCTAAGAACTTTTTTGAAATCCCACAATGTGCCAGAAAACCAAAACCAGGAGCTAAAGTTTAAAAGGCTCCGTAAAGGGCTGTCCTCACCAAGAACAACAACTGTTCAACTGTAGCAATAACTATAGATATATTGTTTTAAAAATCTTTCACACCGCAACTATAACACTGACAGTGGCGAGAGACACTGTTGGGATCACTTCCAAAGCAATTTGATGAATGATATTGTGTTATACAACTTATTAAATGCTCTTATAGTGTAATTTTAGGCTGCATTACATGAATTATGATTTAATGTCTTTTTAAAAACTATTGATTAATTCAGGTTTTAAGTAACATGGCCATCACCAGTATGAGTGCTCTAAGCTGTGCCAGGACCCTAATACAGTCATTCAGCTCCTCTAATGGACCAGTCACAACTGCCAAGCAGACATGATCTGGCCCTCAGGCTTTTATTCTCACAGATGTCGGGTGTCATCTCTACCTCGGGGGCCCCACAGTAGATCTCCCACAGGCTGACAGGATCAACAGGATCCAGCAGCAGGGGCCTCGCTGCTGGCGATGAGCCACCAGGGTTCAGCAGCGCTGAGCGAGGATCCTGATTTTATCC